GTAACTTGTAATCTGTAAACTATTACATTTCCAAAGTAACCTTCCTAACACTGCATGTTAGTTTATCAGTATGTTTGAAAGTATATTATTTAGATATTATTTAGTGGTGCTTCCATAGGCTCCCTCTCTCTCGCGCACGCGGTTTAAAACACCAAATAGTTATGAAATAGCCTATGACAAGTACAGTGAGTCTCTCTCTTGCCCCCACCCACCCATGCACGATAATATCGTCTATCGGCGATCTCACGGACTGGCGATATGACGATTTGAAAAATTACCATATCGCCCAACACTAATACACCTACAAATATGTACAACAGGAATTTTAATTCACCAACTAAACAACAACCTATCTCATCGGTATCAGTCACAGAGATCCTTAAATGCATGAAAAGATCATACTTCATTCAGTTTTCCATTGCTACTTTCTCAACAACGTAGTAAAATGCACTATTCTGGTCTATTCTGAAAATTTGTAATTAAATTAATTGATTCATTAATATTAATTGTAGTTCAATATTAAACCTTATACTTCGCTGCTGTTGAATGCTTGAATCTGATTGTCTGACAAATGTTTTAAGGTATGCAATTATTTTCAGGGAAACACACGGCTAAAGTAGTTCCAGGCAGGTCTTGACCGCATTACATGTCCATATCACTTCGCCCAAATGATTTCAGTTATTTCAAAGGTCCTTACAGCCTACAACAGCAAAAGAACCAAAACCCATCAAGCGAAATCCCACCAAGCAAGTAAATATAGTAAACAATATGATTTCAAAAATGACAAATTATTTCCATGTTTTTGCCACAAAATAGTTTTATTATGTATGGAAAGCACATACTCTGTTTCTCCTGCTCTCTCTCCCACTCAAACACGCACACACATAGTGTTCAGCACTGACACACACTTGCACACATGGAAACATACACGCTGCTCTGACAATTTTATCAGTAAATAGTTTAGCAACCTAAAAGATACATGTAATTTCTCACCAATAACAGCACTGTTCTTGAAGCAGATTAACTTCAAGTTTCGCTTTTAGTAGAAACACTGCTGCCGAACACTGCTGAGAGACGCACAGACTCAGGTAATTCACACACGTTTAATCTCTCTCTCTCTCTCTCTCTCTCTCTCTCTCTCATAACTGCATTAATAACTGCACTAGTCTGCTCTCAACGATCCATTGAATTAATAAAAAAAAAGGTGTAACTGGATAAATTTAATGTGAATAAGAGTATTCATTTCTTTAAAAACTTCTTTCTGACCCCAAACTTTGGAATGGTAGCATACTGTATATTACACTGGAGAAATATTACAATAGAAAAGTATTTACACAACTGGACTCTGTAGGAAACACTGTGTAGATCTAATTTGAATCTCTCCCACAGAACTTCAATAAATGCTTTATGCTTTCAACGAATGGAAAATCCATGTGTTCCTGAATAAGTTCTGTGAGACACAGCCTGTATGCATGCCTAATGTTACAAGTGGACACTTCCTGTCAAGCTTCATATCACAGCAGGGAGCTTGATGTGTTGCAGCATGTCTCAGAGCCCATCACAGCATGAAAAAGGCAGTCATGATCTTACCAGTCGTAGTCCATGACGGCGATGATGAGCGACACATTCTCAATGTTCTCGTTGGGGATATCAAAGACCAGAGCCTCATTATACGTGGGATTGAGAGTATTCTTCTTTATGGACGTCTTCCTCTTTTTCAGCCTTCGACCTTCACAAACCAGAGAAGCCTTTACGTATGGATCTGAGAAAGCAAGAACAGAAAGAGTGAAGGAGAGAGAAAATTTGTCAAAGAAATAGCAACAGCAGGAGGTAATGCATCGACAACATTAAAAATTAATGCGAGTAACGGCATCAATAATTTCTGTGCTAGCAATAATGATACATTAACATTGCTTTTTCCATAATGCACCAGGATAGTGCAACATAATCATGTCCTATAAGAGGAATCTTTATTACATTACTTTAAGCCTTGCTGTGATAATTAAATAAGCCAACACTAATTAAAGATGTCGCTTGTTCTGTGATGTTGATACCTTTATAAGGCGTTTCAGTTTTAACATTCAACTTTTTAGAGGTGCTATTTGATATTCAGAACTTTCAGAACTGATGGTTTTGTGACCTTTAATGTTATTTCACTATTCACATGCTGGATGTGTTACACCAAGGTTATTAATGAGCAGCAGTTTCATCACGTCTCAGTCAACAATGTCTGAGGTGCTAATGAGGTATCGCTGTTAATTATGAGGGAATTAGAGGAATGGCTGGGGACCACGAGAGGGACCAGGTACCTGAGAAGCCCGTGAGGTCCATGGCTTTCAGATTGGTGGCCTTAATGATGGTGATGGTCAGTCGGCCAGCTGTTGGCAGGTAACACAGTGAGAAGTTCAGCTCGCCCAGGTCAGCTTTCTCCTGCAGACACAAAAAACATATCGAAAGGTCCAAAGTTCACTTTGAAGTTAGATTGTGAGTAATGCAAATGCTGAAAGTAATGCACAAAAATAAGGAAATTCATGGAAAAAAATTATTACACCGTCTTTCTTGAAATGTTTCAAAAATGTATTTGCCCTTTTATTAAGACGCAAGGATAAACTGAAGGAATGTCTGTGGCTTTTAATGCTTAATTAAACATTTTTAAAGGATTTCTCTCTGTTCAATTCAAACGCAGCTCTGGCCTGCTGTGATTACCACAGAATTCATTTTATCTCGTCCTTGAATTTTTACAAACAAGAAGAAAATCATGTTTACAGTAATGCACTTGCAATGAAAGTCCACTTTAATAAACATTAAAAACACACTTTTTTGGAGTACATCCACAGGTTATGACCATGTAAATCCGATAAAAGCTATAACTTAGAAAGCAAGACTACTGCAAAGAGGCTGTTCTGAAGAATATGTGTTGAGATGCTATGCCTGTTTTTTCTCTTACACTCTTGGTTGAACCTTTCATCTTTCTCTCAAGTTCTTGTTCTGCCAGACAGAATTAATCATCAGTTATGACGAAAAAAGAACAAGGGTAGGAGAGGTAAACAAAAAGAGCTACAATATTTCATCAAAAACGTCAAGCGTCTGAGGTACATCTCCAAGAACTATAGGAGCTGCCAGCTTTGGGTCTGGGTCCGTAAACGTGATGTGAAAGCTGCATTATGTGAGTGTTGTTGTTTTTTGTTACACTCCAGCACTTTGAAAAATGTATTATACACCAAGTCATTTTTTTTCCCGAACCAGCTGAGTAGGTAAACCCGCTAATGCCACCTGAGCGGCCGATTGGCTGAATCCAACATTTCATTTACATCCATTCACATGTCAGACACACAAATGTCAGAAACATACTCAAATCCAGCATGCATCACTGAATAATTTTTACATTTGTCTTGTCAGACAGAGTAGATGGTGCCAAATGTATCTTCTTTCCTTCATTTGACCTAGTCGTGCTGTGTAAAATTTAATCTACCTTATTTAAGCACACAGCAGCTTGTGTTTGATTTGATTTATTCTCTCTGTTCTCCAAAGGTGCAAACACATTTTAAAATAACAATATTCTATGATCATGATAAAAATGTTTCTAAAAACTGCTCCATTAAGATGCATTGGCAATTTCTGAAGTGCTCTTGAAAAAAGCTCCTTTGCACAGTTGACCTTCACTAATTTCATGTACTTTTCTCTGGAAGGACGAGCACATGCATCACTAGATCACCTCACACCTCTGCTAGCAACATCCCCAAGGACACATCATCATCATCGCCTTAGCATGTAATCACGCATGATTTTCAACTGTGAAAAACGTCTCATGAATATAAAATGAGGTTTTCAATTCCACTTAATAGAGATACGCAAGTACCATATAAGATACCACCATTATCATAAAATCTGTCCTGGCTAAGGTTCTCATTAAATCCAGCACAATTTCTTGGGTGAAATTCACTAAACCGTGTTTGAGTGCAAAACCTTGCGTCTTAAACCACATACCACTCCAAAAACAGTTTAACAGGCACTATAGGCACAAAAATAGCGTTGAATTTAATTTTAAAAGACATTTTTTAGACCTACCTGATTTAATCCATAAAAAAATGTTTTGTTTGTATAAGTGAATGTTTTCAGGCAATATTAAATAATATTTTTGACAAATAAAAAAAAGTTAATTTAGATGTTAATATTTTTTCAGTGTTGACTCAATTAAGATTTGCTTTATTCACAAAACTCAATGCTATTTGTCTTGAGTAATTATCAGTGCATATGTACTGCCCAGGGAAAGCAGGGGAAGCAGTTTTGCTCAAAAGAGACATTTGTGCATATTTTTATTGATGACAGCAGTAATTTATCAAATGATGATCAAGTAAAGGAGTAGAGCGTTATATCTTGGCACATATCCAGAAGTTTGGTGTAGTCAAGCGCACTTTCAGCATTTCCTATTGAGGTGTTGGCGTGATGCCGATGTGTTCAGTGCGAGTGCTTCGACATATTGAGCAGTGGTGCTCATAACAGACCCGGGTTTAAGTCTGGCCCGGTGATGTTGCCATCCTGTTCCCCTCTCTCATCTCTACTACTGTGTATGGCAAGAACTCATCACTGTTCAGCATGGCTATTCAGCTCAGGTCCTTGATGGCCACTTTCCTGCAGGGTTTAGATTTAACCACAGTCTAAAGCATGTCAACAAGCTAATCAACTGATCACCCAAAATGAAAATTCTGTCATCATTTATTCACCCAACCTGTACGATTTTCTTTCTTCTGTGGAACACAAACGAATTTTGTCCACATAATGGAAGTCAATGGTCACCAAAACAGACCATCATTCTTAAAAATATTTTCTTTTTTGTAGTGCCAAAGAAAGTCAGTCAAACCGGTTTAGAACGATTTTTGGGTGAAGGATTTCTTGAAAATGACACGCAGGTGTGTTTGATTAGTGTTGTAACTCAACTCCCCGGGACAGCGGCCCTCCAGGACTGAAGCTGAATAGCCCCGCTGTACGGTCTCAGCATAGTATGTCAGATCCTGACAGTCGAACATCTGTTTTAGTGTCTGCATCCTTCATAATCTAGCACCCAGAACCGGTGTTTGTGGTGTTACCTAATTTGCATAAATCTTTCAGCAAATCACATGCTAAAACTCAGACAGCATGTGCAAATACACAACGCCATCAACTACTCACTCTCACCGATTCTAATGAACCTTTAATATGTGTTTGTGTCATTATCTCACCGCGGTTCCTTCTACGATGTCTCTCCAAACTGGCTTCTCCCCGGTGCCCTCGCTGAAGTCCAGCAGGTTATCCACCACCACTTGACCTATGAGGTCATGTCTGGAGAAACGATCAAAGTCGTAGATGGAGAAGTGGAGCTTGCGCGAGTGCAGCTCCGCCAGAGGCACGCCGAACTGGAACGTCTCATTAAAAACCGGGTTGAGAGTTTTTCTGTGCACCTGCGAACCAGAGCCACAGAAAGACCAAGTGGAAATGAGAGAAAGTGAAGGAAATTAGATAAGCGGAGGAGCTGAGAGGGAAAAGTGAGCGAAGGGAGTGAACAAGAGATTGGTTAACATTAAAACTGCAAAAGCATAAAGTTAATTCAAAATGCACCGCCTGATATAGATGTCTTTTTAGATGAACTAGGGCACTGGGAAAAAAATCACACAGGCAGGCTGAGAAACGCAACCAGATCTTAATGAGTCCTAAGAGGGTCTGCCATCTGAACAGTGGATTATTGTAAAAGCAGGGAGCTGACTGCTGCATCGCTAGGATAAAAAAAGATACCTTGGTCTGAAATTTCTTCTTCCTATCAGGCAGTAAGTAGATCTTGACATAAGGATCGGAGAAACCATTGGCATCCTTCGCCGGGAGGTCCAGGGCTTTCAGTATCTTAACCACCAGCTGCTCCGTGCTGTAAGAAAGACATGTCAATGTCACCATAATTCACTTTGAACTATCTGGAAATTCCTGCGCTCGCTAGCCTGGGCGTAAGTTCATTTCAGAGTCATCTAACCAGCAATGACAAGAGCGTTGGTTTATGTTGAAATAGGCTGACATCCAGGCCAGTATCAGGACAGCACTGCAGCACTGAGTTCAGTGAGGCTCAATGGCTGTCAGGTTCAGGAAAATAGGGGGAAAAAGAGGAGGTGCCATTTGTACAACCCAGCTCAATGGATTGGAATTGACAGATGGACAGAGCCGTACTTGAGCTGCGCAAGCTAAATGGATCTTGTACGAACGTGAATATATGAGATAATACATCCCTAATGTGAATATAAAGACATGAATATTTGATGCGTAATGCAATGACTGTGGCTTCCAACACCGGACTTTATAAATAATCCAGAGCTTATTACGAGGCAAACCATAGGTCATTTCATGGCTAGACTGTAGCAGGGTTGTTGCAGTCTGGTGCCAAGCACAGCACGACCGTGAACTTCTGACGCGCAAGGCTCACCCAGTGTTTGTGCAGATGTAAATAAGAGAGGCGGGGGAAGTTCTGTGGTTGCTAATCAGGCCTTGTTAGAATGTGTCTCTCAGTGTTAACAAAATGCGTCACCCTTTCATTAGGACACGTAAACAAATCAGCAACATTGGGGGAGGGAGAACACAAGCAGAAATCCAATACGGCCTTAGATTGACATGTCGATCATAAAGAATGTGCAGTGACATGGTACAAATCTCAACCAATCAGCATGGAAGCAAATAAGTTAATCATGTGATATTATCATCCAATCTGTAAGTGACAAATTTAATAATTAATTATTGTACAATCATGTAAAGACAAGGATTAAAGGGGTATTTACACTGACAGCAATTTTAAGAGTCTCATTTTCAAGGACAGTTGGCAATTTCTAACAATACGAGCGACAGCAACCCATGTGCAAATAAACAGTATGTGCAACATAATTGGTTTCTAGTTTCATATATATATATATATATATATATATATATATATATATATATATAAA